ATATCATTAATAAATTATTATTTTATTTAAAAAATACTAAATACAATTTAATTTTCTAGGCAAATTTGTCTGGAATATGGTTTAAAGAATACTATAAAATTTCATTAATACAATAGTATTTCTTTTATAAATAGAAAATGTTCTTAAACTAATTTTAAATTAATTAAATTTAAAATAATTATTTTAAAAAAATTATCAATTTAGTTTTTTTTTAACATCTAGCTTATATAATATTAAGACTTAAAATATTTACAAGTACAGCAATAACAGATTTAATTTAAAATAAAATTTTTTAAAAAACTAATAATAATAACAGATTTAGCTTAAAATATAAATTTATTGTAAATTCTAGATCATTGTTAGAAAATTTTAAAAAAAAACAATAACAGATATATCAAAAATAAGAAATTATAAAGATTAGAAATATCTAAATAGAACCAATTTGTAAGTAGTATAGTAACAAAAAGATGAAAAATATAAAAAACAAAAGATTACTAAATATAGTTAGATTAAAAAAGTAAAGAAACAAGACTAGATAAAACATGTAACTAGAATATATAGATATAATTATAGAAATTAGTATTTTTAATATTATAATACTATATTAAGTTTAGAGATATTCTTATTTGTGTAGTGATTTAATGATATGTTTTAATTACAAGTAGTTATAATAGAACTGTATACAAGCATATAGCAGATATGAACTTAGCAACATATAAGTAACTGAATAAAACTAGTGAAATAAAAATTAGAATAGCTAATATAGTACTAACAATAATTGATTCTGTAAACATAACAATAAATTTTATTATAATAAATTTAGAATCTAATAAACCAATTGATAGTATCATCAAAGTTTTTTTTTAAAAAAAAATAATAATATAAATAAAAATAAAACCTATTTGTAAAAGTGTATCAACTTAATGAAATAGATAAGTTGACACCTTTCTAAATAGCAGGTTAGAAGTTCAAAACTCATCAAAATCAAAAATTTATTAGCATAACTGGCAGGTTATAAGGTATCTAGTTACATAGAGAGATGCAAACTAGTACTGGACAGTGCAAACCCAAGATAAATTAACATTTTAAAAGAGTAAATCAGAACCAAAAAATGAATTGCAGGAAAATTTGTCTACGTTGATATACAATCTAAGGAACAATTTGGTCTAAAAATATTGGTTTATACATGGTCAATACAAATCGATATTATTAACCATCCTTTCTTATAATTAGAATGACCAGAATTACATGTATAGCAAAATCTAGAATTACGCAAATTATTTATAATTGATAACTATTACTGTAATCGAAAATAAGCAGTTAACAATCTACTTTCATAAGTAGTTAATAATCTACTTAATAATATATATATATTGTAAACTACTCAACCGCATTGTTGAAATTTTGATTATTAAGCATTTTACCAAATTATAACATTTTTTAACTAGAAAAAAACTGGATTGCTAAGTTTGTTAATATTTAAAACCAAAAAACCAAACCTGCATAATCTTATTGGTTTTTTAATTTTTTATTACAAATACACAAACAATTAAATATATACTGTAATTTTAAATATGTATAAACAAATTTAAATAATATAGGTTATTGAAAGTTTAAGTAACAATATACATATATCATTGGATTGGATTTTTTAGCAGATCAATAACATATGAACAAAGATCAATTTTTAATAATTACTGTCGACAAAATCTACGTAGCAATATTTTCTTCTTTTATTTAAACCGATAATTTGATTTGCCCATATCTACCCAATTAATAAATGTTGAATTATAAACTACGAGTTGTTCTATATATCATTATTGTACATTATCAATAAATTTATTGATATACTAAAGTATTACGGTATTAGCTTCCAAAAAAAGAAAATTATTTACTAAATATATAGTTTCTAAATAACATTACATATTAATATTATATATCAAAGATTTTTTTACTTCTAATCTCTGATTCAAACATACCCAAAAACTTTTCAAAAGTGTTAACATACAATAAAGTCAAAGTTTCTTCTCTAGCATTTTCAAACATGGACAACTCAAATTGACCATTATCTATCATATTTTTAACATTATTTACCATACTTCCAGAAAAATTAATTGCCAAATCCGAATTTGGATCCAAATAAGTATCATAAAACGTTCTAAAGTCACATCTAAGCTCATAAGGGAATGGAATCCAGGAGGCAGCAGAAATTGATTCAACGATTGACTTTGTACACGGAGTAGAAATATAAATTGAAGGTGATAACGGTGGTAATATAGAAGTATTTTTTATAAGCAGAGTTTCTTCAGTAAAAATGTGATTAGTGTCTACCAGGTGAAGTTTTGGAGTGGGTGGTGGAATTAAAAAACCTTTGTTCGATGGTGTGCAACATTTGGCCACTAACATTTTCAGGAATTGATATTCCTCTAAAAAGAGGACTAACTCTGTGCAAAAACATGCTACGGCACAAGCTGTAAAAAAAGGGAAATTAGAAAAATTATTATTGATAAGAAAAATAAATTTAATAAAGATAAATAGAAATTGACATTACCTTTATAAAGTTTAAATAGATCAGGGTCAGCCAAAACCTTTTCAAATTGTTCATATTTTTTTGAACGTGACATCCTTTTATCATGGAATGTTGCCAATTTAGAAATATCAAAAGAATTTTTATATGATTTCCAAACAGGTATCGTAATTGATAAAGTGTGACTCAAAATAAAAGTGATCCATGGGAACATAAAACTTCCGAAATAATTTTTGAAATGAGGCACAGAAGATTCCCAAATACCCCACATGATGAAAGTAAAAGAACCGACAATCAAAGTAACCATCAACTCATTTCTAAGACCATAAGCATCTCTTATGCTATATAAGAGATAAATAAGGATAGGACAAATGATAAAGAGGAAAAAAGTGAGGAGAAAGAAAATAGGAATATGTCTAATAAATACAGATATAAAAAAGAAAGTGAGTATTTATTGATGTATATATATATATATATTTATTTATTTATATTTAAAATAGATACATACTCAGGACCTATTGGACAATCGGTGCGCATTGGATTTAAACTAAGATCCGGCAAAACCAATTGAAAAATAAAAGCTAGTAAGAATGCAATTGCTATGGTTGGATACAAAATTCGATTTGCCAACCATCTATCAGTAGCATTTTTCCTCCATTTTTTTAGTTGACGCATTAATCTCGCCGCAGGATTTTCCATCCTTTCATTAATAGGACTAAAAGGAGTTATAGGAGATAGTGGGACATTATTTGATTCAGGCATTAGACTTATCCTCAATTTGGCCATATTATATCTAGCCACCCAAATGAATACAATAGCTCTGCAAGTTACCACGGCACAAGTCAGAAAGAAGCCAATATATGAAGACCAATGTATGAGAAAACAAGGAAATTCCATTGGGAAACCAGAACGAAAACAAAACATCACGCACAGCATGATTGTGGCTATTGAATTAAAAAGATTCAGTCTTAATGGCCTGTAACGAATATCAGAAATTTGACGCCGCCTTATATAAAATAATATTATCGTCACAGAGAGATAAATAAACGTTAATATTCCAAGTGTAGAATATATTCCTTTTCTTTCAGGTGACCCGCCCGCAGGATCTTGCTGAGATGATTTAGAATAATTAGATGCCATATATGTATTCATATAATTGACCAGCACTTGAGAGTCTTAAGACCACCACTAAACTCTCGTAACGATCAATAACATAGATCGACTAAAATTTCCAAAGGCGGTATTATCTGTATTTCGTACTAATGAAGGGGCGGGCCAAAAGGAACTGAATAATTTTAAATTATAAAATGGTATTAATTAATTTTATTCATTTAAAATTGATCAAAAAAAAAAAAAAAAAAAAGGAAAACAAAATAGCTTTACATACCTTTGTGGGTGGTTTAATAGAAATCAACTGGAAAAGCAGATTTAGAATGGCTAAGACGCATTAAGTCACAAGGTAATTTATTTTTATACGCCTTGCAAACAATCACTTGCATAAAATTATATAACAATGCGTGTTGTGTGCGTACACAAATATCGTTTGAAACAGCAGAGATTAGATTACCAAATGCGACGACAGCAAAAACTTTTGAATTGAAATATAGACAAATAAAGGCTATTTAAGTAGAAATAAGTATGTGTGTACTTACACCAATTAGTCTAGCAGTTAAAAATATGTTAATTCGTTTATGATCGACTACAAGTATTAACATGTAATTATATTGCATGTATTAAAAAATTCTTGGTTTGTGTGCAACATTACGCACGATCGAAATTGTTAGAAGGCCGAGTCCTCAGATTTGACCTAGTAACCTATATATATCTCGATATCCAAACCCTAGCGGCAAGTACTGGTAGAGTTATATCACATGTTAAGGATTCATAACTTCTAACCGATAACGATTATTATACAGAAGACAATAATAAATGATTTAATTATTTTTTCTATAATAGGGACTTGTGAAAAAGTTACACAAATTAGATCTTGTTTATAAACATTGTGAGAAGCTTTTTTCAAAAAACAAAACTTACATTAAAGCATTATGTGCATATGTACATGAGTGCGTATGTAAGTCCTAACTGTGATGGCAATGTAACACATTAAAATAAATTTGCTGAATAAATAGTTTCAAGAATTATTCTCTAAGGATTCAACTAAAATCACAATAACAACTTAAACGTAATTGTAATATTCTTGATAAACTTGTATTTTATTAACTTATTAATGTGAGCATCCAAAACTCGCACACGAATACGTACGAAGATTGATCAATCTAATTAAGTTAATTAAGTATAATCACAAAATCTATAAATACTCAAACGAAAACTTAATGCTATGTTATTACATACAAAAGGACAAATCACAGCATATATATAACGTCCAAATGTGATAGATATCCAAATGAAGTCTCAATGCTATGATATGAAACACCAAGTTATCATTTAATACCTATTTGTTAAATGCAACATTTGACATTCTATGGCACGTACATAAATCTCACCTTATAATTATTAAAGTCACGGGTATCTTGAAATATAAATGGTCTAAGTTACTATTCATTCTGCAGGTTGTCTATTACAAGTTTACTTTGCAAGAAATACACTATTTTCAAAACGGACAGTGCATCATGATTGTTATTTACATGAAAATCTTTCTACATTCTAAGAATGAACGTTGAAAATCGGATTGCTACTTAACATTCATTTATTATCGTTATTGATCAATCAGCTTTATTTGTTCTAAAAGTTAATCTGTTTAAACTAATAATAGATTACAAGCAAGGATAGATTATAAACTTGACATAGGAATATTTGATTTTTAATATTGCAATTATCCAAATGGATCATATTTAGGAATTTGTTTACAAAAATAATTCAGAATTTTAACTTTACCCCCAATTAGAATCCAATTTTATGTATCTCAAAAAATTTCTTTTATTATTGATTTTTTTATCGTTATAGAAGTTAGGAAGATTTAGAATGCATATCGATATTTGCTCACATCTAATTTTTCCGACCCGCTGATATATTGGATTTTAGCCGTGCCACAAAAAAGTGTTGTTCCAGTGATCTCCAAGTCATCCATATTTTAAACTCAGCCTTTCCTCATTTAATACAAAATATTTAATAGACTCGTTAAGTACATATAAATTGGTACCTAGCCATTGGTGAAAAAACTCTCAGACCACTTTGTAGATCAAAATCTGACGATATTTCAGGGACCAAGCTAAGTCGTTACCAAAAAACTTTCAGACCATATAATTTATAGTTTATAAATATAAATTAGAGAAATTCTATTTTCACCCGGGTTCTATGTGCGATTTTGATGATAATTAAAAATAAAAATGATAACGATAATAATTCATAAAGTTTGATCCAATCATTTATGTGACGTTGAGAAATTGTCGGTATTATGAATTGCTTATGAAACCGTCATGAAACCGTTTATGAAAACATGATTAAATTTAACATTTTATTTGTATTTGATTGGTTAATTGTATACTTGCTTATTAATATTTTGATGTAGTGACCCTGCACAATATATTTTTATTATTCGGAGTGGTTATCGTTATGTAATTCTATTGTATCACTTAATTTTTAATGATCAATCAACAATTTTCGCCCATACGTAAAGTCACCCAAAATATTACTAACTGCTAATTTTGGGTACGTAAATGACATCGTTTATCGGGTGATTTTAACTTGGGTAAAAATAGAATTTACCTATAAATTAAAGGACATTTTTAAGTTGCGCCATTGGTTAATTGTAACCAGTGTTTAGTAATAAATAATAAATAATATAATCCCCCGATCATTTATCAAGATCACGGGAGGATTAATTAATCATACCCTGACCGTATGTGAATAAGTGGAAACGAAGTTTCCAACGGATTAGGATATTATTATTACAAATATCACGATTTTTTTATTATGTATAAATATACATTGGAAAAGTATTTTAATAGCTTTTAAGCATAACTGGGATATTACCCTTTAATAACAAAATCTTAAATTTACAATTAGAAAATTAAAAGTTTAGACTATCAATATGAAACCTTTGGGTGTTATTATTTTGAATTGCTTACGGAATCAATAAAGGAGTAAATGGAATCTTGATCGATTTCGGACGATTGAATTGATTCTGATTATTTTTGTATTTATTATCGATTCTG